ATTGTGATCTATCTCTCAAAGAAGCCCGAACTCGTTTGGCAGAGGGTTATTCTATCGATTTCCAGGTAATTCACTTTGCATACGCACACACCGTCCCCGACTCGCCTCTGACCCGAGTATGACATTCAGGATCTTGTCGCGCGTTTTACACTAGACTCGGCTACGGAGTTCCTATTTGGCACCAACGTTGGTTCCCTCTCCGCCGGTATACCCTATCCACCGCTATCAGCTGCAGAAAACTCGGCTTCCTTCTACAATCATCCCTCTAATGTCTTCGTCAAAGCCTTCCTGGAAGGCCAAGTTCTCTCAGCGCTGCGCACAAGTTTGGGTGCCGACTGGCCGGCGCTGGGGGGTGACTTCTGGAAGAACCAAGTCTCGCCTATGCGCAAGATTATGGACGAGTTTACGGAGCCGTTGATGAAAGCGGCTTTGGCCGCGCGGGAGAAGAGACTCTTGGAGAAGGATAGCAAAAGCCAGGAAGGAGACGAAACGACATTGCTGGAACATCTTATTAACCGCACTCAAGACCCTGCAGTTCTGAAGGATGAGGTAACCATGTCGTCATTCAATAATTTGTATGGGCCCTGACCGTTTTTTTTGTGCAGCTTGTCAACCTACTCGTGGCTGGTCGCGATACTGTACGCCGCAAATACTATTTTCGACTCTGAAGTTCTAACTTCAACATCCTTTTGCAGACAATGTGTCTCTTGACTTTCTCGTTCTACATGCTAGCAGAACATCCAGACATCGAACGCCGTCTTCGGCACGAAATATTTGAAACGGTCGGACCGTCCGGAACTCCTACCTACGACCAAATGCGAGATATGAAGTTCATGAGAGCTTTCCTTAACGGTATATCTGTCTCTACATATCGAAATCATAGTTTTATGAGGCTAATAAATTTAATAGAGGTGTTGCGACTTTATCCTCCTGTGTACGTGGATTTACATACCACTCGTTGGATTAGCATTTGAGCCTCATCCTCTCTAACCTCATAACTTAGCCCACTTAACATGAGGTATGCTTGCTCTAAGCCCTAATACCCAAATTTTAAATGCTAAATTATTTCTCAGAGCCAGTAAAGAACCAGTCATTTTACCAAATGCGGACGACAGCCAAAAACCATTCTACATTCCCGCTGGCACTCAGTAAGCACCTCCTACCGTCCTCTGACCTCTCGCTCTAAACTCTTCCAAAGGATCTTCTACACGGTTATCAACATCCACCGCCGCACCGACCTATGGGGACCCGATGGTATCGTGTTCTACTATCTTAAACATCCCAAAACACAACACTCACATTTCCCATTCTACACCACTATAACCTACGCTCTATCCAGCGCTGACATTCGACCCCGACCGCTTCCTCGACGCGCGCCTGCACAAATACCTCACGCCGAACCCGTACATCTTCTGCCCCTTCAACGCTGGCCCGCGGATCTGCCTCGGGCAGCAGTTCGCGTACCACGAGGCGACGTTCTACCTCGTGCGGCTGTTGCAGCGGTTCACTGCGTTCAAGCTGGACGGGAAGACGAACGTGCCGCCCCCGGAGGAGTGGAAGGCTTGTAAAGGCTTGAAAGCCACTGAGAAGGTGTATCCGATGTCGCATTTGACTATGTACATCAAGGTGCGTGCTTATTGGATGATAGTGAATCTGTTCACAGCATAGCATAAAATTGACTTTTTTTGTCTCTGTTTCAGGGCGGTCTTTGGGTTACGATGAAAGAGCTCAATGGAAGTGAGGTTTGATGTTTTGACAAGATTTAACGATTGAACGAGCACACGATCAAATTATGAAGAAGCCTGACGAGTCATTTATATCCACATCTCAAGTTATACCCACCCAAATTTATCTGCATCTCGTTGATTATAGGACTGTATTAGTTATTTCCAGGACTTATGATGCTATTGCCCACTTATGTGCATCTGCTAAAACCGATGGGGAGTCCCCATCGAGGAGTCGGACAGACTCATTAACCCGCTCAAGCTCAGGGATTCGGGAACATTTGACAAGACACTCGCCGTGATGATCATGACACGGTTGGAAGTTATAAACAGAAATGCGGCTACATTTGTGTATGAGGGAATGGAAGATGTTTGGTTCATGCACATTGTTCGAGATAGATGGAATCACATATTTATGTGCAATACCTGTATCCGGTGTCGAAGAAATGATGATGAGCGGCAGTAAGGTTGAGCGATAAGTGGGTGATTCTACCTGCGCTCGCCGAAGTCACCCAGACCGGGGATGATGTAGGCTTTGTCGTTGAGGCCTTGGTCAATCCATCCAGTGATCTGTACACCATGTGAGTCTAAAGAAATCGAATTATAGTTAGATAGCAGTGACATACTACTTTCAGAGATGGGAATCGTGTGCAAAATGTCGTGAGTCCTTCCGGCGCAGCAATCTATCAATCAGAGATGAGCATGTAGTTCGTCATGGGTCGATAGAGGAACTAAGAAACGGACCAGATTGATGAAAATAATTCGCTCTTCAGGAACCCCGTGCTCCATCAGCACTTCAACGGCCTTCATAGCAGATCCTCCGGTTGCTGAATTCATTCTTCAACATTATAGCTTTGATTGCACAGCGGATTAGGAGGCATACCAAGCATTGGGTCGAGTAGAAGCACATAACGAGATGCAATATCTTGTGGGAACTAAGAGGAGCGGACGATTAGAGAAAAAACGGAAGTATAATGACCGCTACACACTTTCGAGTAGAACAACTTAGGCAACGTTGTCTCTTCATCCTACGCCAGCATGTCTTCATCGGGGATCTGTCCGGACACATTTTATAGACAACATACCCGCTGAATCAAAATCTTCCCAATCCGCACACTTCTACACACCTCGCGAAGACCCGCTTCCATAGCCTGTGGACACGGTAAGATGCGTACGAAGGGGCGTATGATGATGGATCGATACCTCTCCTGCCCGTAAAATTGACACGCCACAGATTTTGCCCTCGAAGCCCACTCCATTGTATACAGCACCCTATGATATAACAATATTTCGTTAACAGTTCATCTCGTACAACATTGAGTACTGAGAGTTGGCCGGTCGACCCCGCTGCCATTTCGAGAGGTGGGGAACTCACAGTAGGCGTCTCCACCGTCCTAGCCACAACTGGGAGATGGTTCAGCCCTTCCTCCACAAGCAGCCTAATGATGCGATCTGAATAGAACAAGAAGTCTCCTCGCGATGTCTCCTTGTTTCTGATGATCGTGTACAATGCTTCGAGCTGCGCCGTCTGTGGCAAAGTGAAAACGGAAGGTGGCAGGGGATCGAGATGCGCAAGATTAGAGTTAACGGTCTGAGCGGGTTGAGGAGGCGCCAGGGGGGCGCTGGATGTCGGGGATGCCATGGTCAGGTAAGATTGGGGGCTAGCCAGCTACAGTGAAGAGCCAGAGGTTATAAATGTACACAAGAGGGCGATCGCGTGCGTGTTAGGTCTGATTACGTCCACGTGGATTTGCCTAAAAAGACCGATTACGATCTACAGGGCAGCGCATATCAGCGCTTCTTTCAGGCAAAAGATAGGGGACGATAACACTGACTTGTACAAATAGTATGTAGGGTGGACTGAAGAAGTTCATTGCAATTTCAGAACGAAGCATCCTGAGATGTAATTTGTACATGATTACAGAGGGCATGTTACTGAAGATGTCAAGTGAAGCGAGAATCCAATCCACAATTCGAGATCTCATCACTGTTTTGAACATCCTTTCTTGCGATCAATTATGTGTACGAGACTCGAACCTGCCTCCAGACCGGCAAAGTAAATGCGTTGTGATATTTTACCCTCATATACGCGAAAATATTAATAAGAAAAGCAGACCATTCGCCGCGCTATGCTTCATGTTTTAAATTATTCATCATATCAACCCACCGGAGTCTGCCTACGGGACGCTATGTAGTTTGCGGCCAAGAAAAGCGAGAACGAGGCTGGTTTTCGTCGGCAATCTGGATTCTGCATGCTAGATGCCTCAAGTAGATTAGATAAGATTGAGTTCAATAAGCGCCCAAAATATGTCAGAGAGCGGGCTACATAGAATTACATTGGAATCTACAGCTATCTACAGACTACAGATTCAAGTTCAATAACAAATATTATATTAGGGTTCGAAAGTGTCAACATTTGTTATCTTAGGAGGTGTCCGTGAGTGCGATAATTGTCAGTATGGCAAAACAAGCGCTAGCGGCCAGAGCATACTCGTTAGAACGCCTAAGCTGGTGACTTGTATGCTTGGGCTTGCAGTCCATTACTTATACATTATCGATGAGGGGATGTATGGCGAAATCCACTGAACACATGCATTAATGGGGTAGTGGTAACCTGGGTCGTTGCCATTGAGTGATAGAAACTCGACCCGCCGGGGGTTCGATTCCCTCTTAATGCAGTACCAGGCCTCTAAGGCTCTATTTTAAGTTTTGCAGCTAGGAGTAATTTGCAAGTACATACCAGGTCAACGTTAACTTTTAAGTGTTAAAGTGATTAATGATTCTTTCAGAATCTAATACATACAATTTACGGCTATTTGCATAATTTATACAGCTATGATAGTCAAAGTCGCCGCAATGATGAGCAGCCTAGGCCCTATGCCTTAATTCTCAAATATTCTTAACCTGGAGGAATCAGTCTTATACCTCGTACTTAGCGTACAATATTCGAATCGTATTCAAGTAATCCAATTTCCTCAGACCTAAATTTGGACTTAAAAAGTTCGCACGCCATGCGCACGCCCTTCCAGACTTGTAGTAGCATACATAAAAAGAATGAGCGCCTCGGGCGCTAATTTTCATCGCGCGCTAGTCCGCACCTATTGCCGGATTGGCGCAGTGGTAGTCGCGTCTCACTTGTATGATCTTTCACAACGGACAAAAGTCAATGAGAAGGTCATTCGTTCAATCCGGATATTCGGCATATTTTTGCTGCTTCAAGCGTCTTTCATCTTTATGAAGGTCAGGAATCTGGGACGCCGGAATTACATCCAACAAGCATTAATGGGGTAGTGGTAACCTGGGTCGTTGCCATATGTTACGCCAAGCCTGTAGGCCTTTTCACAAGTAACTCGACCCGCCGGGAGTTCGATTCTCTCTTAATGCATGGACATAAGTAAAATGCGAGAGCCTTTTTTAAGTTTTAGCCGTCAAATGTCCACAACGCACAATTTTATTATTCTTAATACTTATCATATAACATTGATTTTGTAGATCTCTTCTTTTGAGGATATAAACTTAAAAAGTATAAAAGCGCAAGGGATGAGATGTTCTTGAGATATCAAGTACAAACTCGCAAGGATGAGACGTTTGAGGAGATAACATTAGCAACGCTTGTATGGACGAGAGGCTCTGCATCTATCCGATATCGTTCTTCTTTCCACTGGTCATTCACGATCCACTCAGTATTTATCAATTGCAAATCCATTCATTGCATTGTATTTGTATCAGCTATATACACACGCGCCTACATGTTACATTTATCCATTCACGTTGCACAACTTTGTTCTCGCTCCAGATTCATGAGTTTCCGACTCCACAAAATCTGTCGAATCTACTCAACATCGGGCCGTAAAATCGAACCCTTGGGCTGAAGGTCGAAGAATGCCATATCAATCTCCTCAGCCAGGGTATCGAACAAGGACACCTTCATCGACTCTGTCGCCTCCCAGCCGAGCTTCTTCGCGCGTTCGGCGGTAACGCGGTGGTTGCAACCAAGCAGTTTCCAACCGACTGTAACCATCGTGTCAGTTGATTTGAAATAAAATATATCCATGCACGAAATTGTTAAAGAAGCTTACATTCGCCATAAAGATCAGTCACAGCCGCGGGGTAAGGCTTAGATCCACCTTCGGGGTAGACACCACGCTTATGCAAAATCTACCGAAATTGGTGAGCTTGTGCCGAAAGCTATGGATTTAAACGGCAGACTTACATCTCCAATCTTGGCAGTATATTCTTCCCAAGTAACGTGCGGGTGCTCGCTCGACAAGAAATCTTCGCCAATATTCAGCGACCAATACGCCATGAGCAAATCCGTATCACTCACAATATCCCTGCGCTCCTTCGTCTGCCTTCCCTTCGAGAGCCGCCTCGAAAATTTTGATCATTCCATTCGAGAGATCCTTGACGTGAACGAAGTTGAAGGAATTGGCACCAGGTCCCCATCTTCCAGAGTATCCGGCAAGCTTATTGGCCTCCAGGAAGAGCCGCACGCCTCCAGATGACTTGCGGTAACCTATGCAAATATTCAGGCAAGAACGTAAGGTGAGAGCGATTTGGAACTTACCTTCTCCGAGGCCGTAGACCCAGGCGGGGTACCAGATGATGGTGCGCACAGGGTTCTCCTTTCGGATGCCTGCCTCGTGAATGGGGGCGTCACAGTTAACATGGCAATTATCGGCAGGGACACTGTGGGCGGTGAATGTGGTATCCGTGTAACGGGGAATTTTCGCGTCGTCGACAGGCTCGCCGCGCGCACCGTCGCCGACGATGCACAAACCAGAGGTGTGGAAATAAATGGGAGGGTTTCCTGGATTGGCGGCTGATTGTTTCTCGAGTCCAGCGAGGACGTCTATGGAAATGATGAAGTGATTGATGGTAAGATTAAGTTCTATGCGATTTGAAGTTATAATAACCAGCACTTACTATGCACGGGGACGGGATTATCTGAGCTCGCAAAGTTCATCACAATTTTGGCCTTGGACGATTGCTCGATGACAATGTCGCGGTCGGTAAAGGAGCCTTCGACAAAGCTGATATTGGAGTAGATTGCTTTGATTTTGGCTGTCTTCTCCTCAGTGATATCTCGAAGAAGCGCAACAACGTGGAACTTGTGCGACGTGCGACCAAGAAGGGCGAGAAATTGGGATCCTATACACCCAGTGACACCCAAGAAAAAGATAGTATTCTCGCGATCAGTCATTTTGGAAGATGCTTGGGTTCAGAGGAGGGGAGGGATAATCGTGAATAATAGATACGCAGTCAGTTTTTATATTGTCAGTAACCAGGCCATGCCGCCATGATTTCACACGAATTGGGTATTCTATTGAGCCCCCGTGCGCATACCCAAAAGGTTTCTGTCATGTCCCTGTATAAAAATCTCCGGACTAGCCACTAATGATTAGATTTCTCAAATTTAATCCCCTGCGCCACCAGGCGCCGAAACCTGAAGGTCGATGGCTGTAGCCAAAACAATACGTTTTACGTCTCAAGCTACATAGTAAATGGTCATGGGTGTTGGGTTTTCAGCTGCTTGGGCTAAATCTTTATCGATCTTAGAGCACCTCAGCTGAGAGTTTCTGATTTGTGTGTCCTAAGAGCGTCAATCCACTGAGGATCAGCCAACTTTCAAGGCTATAAAAAGAAGCCGACCATCGGCATTATCACAGATTATAGCATGCGTATTAGCAAAGACACACCTTTAAAAGCCTTGACGCATTACGCTATCCGGGTGCGTGAAGCAGCGTGAAGCTCAGGATGACCAGTTCGTACATTGTTCGTACAGCATGTTCTGCGCCTAAACAATTTCCAAATAATCTAACCTTTGCAAGTACTTGCGGCACTTGTTATCGCAATCCATATCACTACGTCCATGGCCCTGCATCATCTAATTACGACATGGTAGGTAATCCTTCGGCAAAGTCTTTGTTTCCCTTGGATACTTGGTGGGTGGACTTTTGGAACTCTTTCCCTTACTACACACCTGCAGTGAACGCGGCGACGAAGCTCCACCTCAGATTATGGCCTTTTGATTCCCTATGACCTCAAGGCGGATGGTATAGCTGCATACGATCTGAATCACCTATATATTTACCTTGTCAATCTTTCTTAAACCCTTGGAGACAAACCCCTGGCTGTCATTTGAAAGCAAGGCGACCTACAGGCTGCAAGCGGTCGGCATTCAGGCCCACCACACACAGACTCTTCTCCACAACAGTAACGAAGCCTTGCAATATCTGTGAATTTGAAAACCGAAGGATGGGTGGATACACGGGTGCTCTAGGTGAGTTCGATTTTCATCGATAGTCGGGAAGCCATCAAAATTCTGAAGAAAAACGCGGTATGTGCAGGCCCCGTGGTGCTATCGATATTCAGTGCGTGTCCCCCAGAATCCTGTTGCCCCATGCCAGCGTTGACAAAGATATGTAATTCTCAGTTAATACCTACGTGTCGGGAGTGGTTGGTTTTCAATATGCATTGTTCCAGGCCCTCAGTGAGTAATCAGTTTTCTCGTTCTGGACCAACGTTTGACCATGAGCTCACATGTTCCTCTCAGGATACAAGAAATCACTGTCTATTAGGTGTGGAATGTCATGCCCATCCCATTTGCGCCCGATTTAATAGAAAAATTTACAGGTTTACTGTCCTCTCGATATATGTGATCGACGTATTCCAGATTGTCATGTGCGTTACACTCTTTGTAGAGATCCGAATGCCGCTTATCGTCTCTTGCTACTTCCATCAGAGCATTCTACATGATTTGGATCTACTGGTGAGCACGATAATCTACGATAATGGAGTCTGGATTCCTTGCGCTCCTCCTTATTTATTCCTTTCCCCCCACTTCTTCCAGCGTCACATACTACATCGACCCTAGAGCGCTAGGCAATGGTACGTGATCGTAACGAAATTATGCATACGTTTGCCAAGCTTTTCCGTTACAACAGTCGTACTATGGATATTCACAACAATACCACTGTATAGCGCCCTCTCCAGTTTCATTGCTCATGCCTTCATGACATACAGGTCCGTTTTCTCATTCTTACCCCCGCCAACAATTTTTTTACTGGGCGCCCTTCATTAGAATTTCGCTCTTCACAAAAAGAAGGTTTCTTCTAGCCGCCCTAGCAGTACTTTCCTTGGCCGTTTTCTTGCTCGGCCTCGCCGTTGGGTCATATGGGATCAAACATCGCGTTTCGATGATGCACATGTAAGTGGATGATTGATTGACCAATCAGCGCTCAGCAATTGCCAATTACACGGGCGTCTAGCTAATCTGGTCCAAAAATAGCATCGCAGGCGCCTGCACCTATCGATCCCTTCTGCTCGTCTGGTTCGTAGCACGATTGATCCTAGACCTGGTCATGCTAGGTATTTGCCTCCTGGTGAACTATATAATTGAACGCGCGCTGATGAACCTTTCGTTCAGTGACTATGGCCTCCATCTATCACGGTCAAGGACAAGACTTCCTAAGCCACATACAATTGCGCACCGTTCGAATTGGTATAACTGCCATCCAATGCGGATCTTTAACAACATTGTTCTCTATCTGTATACTCGTTTCATTCCTCTCCTCTCCAAAAACAACAGCATATGTCGTCTTCCTGCTTCCAAGCGGACGACTTTACTCTAACGTGAGTTCATTCCACTTTCCAGACCCCAGATACATCTCAAGCTCAAGTTCTGTCCTTTCAGATTATACTCACAACCGTTAACTCTATGCCCCCAAGAGAGAGTATTCGTGCAGAAGTGCCCAGCATCGTCCTGACCAAGGTAAGAAATCACCAACAATTACCCAGTGATTACCCTAGTATACCGAGATTATTACTTCTACAGGACTTGTGGGCCGGAAATCAGACAACGCATGCCTCATCCAGACAAAGCATGAGCCTCAACCGTATAGAAACCGAGCACGAGGCAATAGATGGGACCCAAAGCGGGGACGCTGCGTCAATTTCCTCGCGCCCTTCCGTCACATTCGAGAAAAAGTCTGAAGGCCTCTTGCCGACGACCTCCACCGATGATAGGAACTTCGAATAGCGCAACTCACCATTTCGTATTTAACTTGTTCAGCATTGTTATGATTATTTACTTAAGACTGAACAAAAGTATTGTATTCAAGCTCCCTCTCACTCACGGACCACGCACGCAAGGCTCGCGGTTCAAATAATTATTGAATATCAAACAGTAATGTGACAGATGATATAAAGAACAAAACACGGTGCCTCCCTCCACAGCTCGAATAGAAGATAGATAACGTATACAGTACACAAGCGACCCCCCGCGCCCAGCCCATGGTTCAGTCGCTATCGCTGTCGCTGTCGCTCGCAGCAGACTGGTCATCATCCGTGCCGCTCTCGTCGTCGTCGTCGCTCTCCGCACGC